AAAATGAAGATATGAGGCCAGGCAACAAAAATGAAGATATGAGGCCAGGCAACAAAAATGAAGATATGAGGCCAGGCAACAAAAATGAAGATATGAGGCCAGGCAACAAAAATGAAGATATGAGGCCAGGCAACAAAAATGAAGATATGAGGCCAGGCAACAAAAATGAAGATATGAGGCCAGGCAACAAAAATGAAGATATCAGGCCAGGCAACAAAAATGAAGATATCAGGCCAGGCAACAAAGGTGCGGATATGAGGCCAGGCAACAGAGGCATAGATATGAGGCCTAGTCAACAAAGGCGAAGATATGATCCCAGGCGGCAAAGGTATGGACATGACGCCAGGCATCAATGGTATGGATGAGGACAGATGACTGTGAGGATGAACATGTTGGCTGACACAGCAGACACAGACCAGTGTTTCGCAGCTCCAGTAAATCACAGCCTAAGACAAACACACTGACACGTAAATATACCTGGCATCCACGCAACAAAATCCTCTTCATTACTTCACGTTTCCAGTTCCCCCGAGTGGATCAGAAAAGCTGTAACATGACCCAAGTGAGTTCTATATTTTACATTAGGCTTTTAACCAAATAATTACAATTTTAAATCTAAACTTCTGAAAATAAAAATCAATAAAATAATTGTTTTGTATTAAATTTAAAGTAGCAACTGTAGTTGAACTTTCCAACGTCGTGTTTCACATAGCAGGAAATATGACAAACAAAATTAAATTGCATAATTGTCACCACTGCCGACGATTAATCTCTGAAGGCGGCCTCATTTGTTAAGGATGTGTGTACAGGAGCTCCTGCAGAAATTATAAGCGTGGGAAAATAAATTTCTAGCCAGTTTTGAGACTGCTGCCATTACGAAAGTTGTGAGCACTCCACACTATATACCGAGAACCGGGGTATACCGGCGGATCTCATTGAAACTTTTAAAATACTGAGCAATTTGGAGAATGTTGATCCGGAAAATTTCTTCAAAAGGTCAGATGTAACAAACAAGGAGCAACGATTTCAATTGTTGTTATAGATTTAGCTACTTGGAACAGAAGTTCCAAGTAACACGGTCTATGACGATGAGCCCGTAGTGGACTTGCTAACGGTTTCAAGCTCAACAAGCCACAATGTAGGACTGAGAACGGGAGATACTTTTTCACCCAGTTATAAACCCATGGATCCGCCTACCCGCCGAAGCCGACACTGCCAAAACTTTTATTTATTTATGTATTTATTTATATATACAAGAGTTCTTACATTCTTGTACAGCCACTAGTACGCGTAGCGTTTCGGGCAAGTCCTTAATCCTATGTTCCCTGGAATACGACCCCATGAAAAAATCGTTTAACAACCAAGTACCCATTTTACTGAGTTAAACAGAGGCTACAATTAAGGATTTGCAATAAATCCTCCACGGCCAGGATAGGAACCAAGGACAGAGCGCTCGCGAAACGCCAGGCGAGCGTCTTAACCACTAGACCACGGGGACTGTTTAACTTAACTTTGTTAACGTAACTTTTAAAATACAGCTGTAAAATATCATCAAGGCAAATGGGGGGCTTCTGTTGAAGCCCCCCATTTGGCCCCAGGGGTTGAAGCCCCCTGTTGGCCCCAGGAAGCCAGCGACTTCAGGAAGTCGCTGGCTTCCTGTCCTCATAGAGGCCACTAGTGTTAGTGGCTTTCAGGTAAACTCAGATAATTAGCCAATCATTTAAATGTGTGCATGATGGTGGTGGACGTTTTGTGCTGCCCATACATAAAGTTCAAAATCAAAATCAAAATGTTTACTCAGGTAAAAGTACATACAAGGAAAATGAGTTACAAACACAATATTGGATTTATAGATTGAGATAGTACATACTATATATACCTAAAGCCACTAATACGCACAGGGTTTCGGGCAAGGTGTGTGGGGAAAAAACACTTAGACTAAAGCTTAATACTAATTGAGATTAAAATATAAATTGTTGAAAACGGAAAAAAAAGAGGGGGAGGGGAAACATGGCAGAAATCAGCAATTATACAACTTGGTCAACAAACAATATTGTTTGAAAATAACAAGACATGGGTTGACATTTAGGGGGTAAGGTAGGTTACATGGAGTTTATTAAGTAGTATTTAGTTTTTCTCTTAAACTGGTTAAGAGAGGTCAAATCATGCCTTTGGCATGATTGGGAAGGTCATTCCACATTATGGGTCCCTTGATTTGTAGAGCATTTCTAGTTTGGTTATGACGCACTCTTGGAATATTAAATAGGTATTTTTTTCTGGTGTGGTGCCCATGGGTTCTGTTACAACCTTCTAGGAAGCATTTAAGGTCAGGATTGACATTACAGTTCAGGAGTTTTATATATATAGAGTACACATGAGAGGATGTGCAGTGACTTAATATCTAACATATTCACAGATTTGAGCAAGGGTACCAAGTGCTGTCTGGGGCCAGAGTTAGATATTGTTCTAATAGCAGCTTTGTGTTGAGTAATTAGAGGACGTAAATGATTTTGGGTAGTAGAACCCCAAGCACAAATACCATAGTTGAGATAAGGATAGATGAGAGTAATGGAGCGTCACCAGGGTTCTCAGGTCACCATAAGTTCTCGCTTCTAAACTTATCATAACTCTTAACAGTAGTGATTTCTACCCTTTGAGTATAGTGATCGCTTACATCTCAGTCAGTTTCAGTGCTTTATGCCTTATGCTTCTCGATTCTTTGCTTCACGTTGCAAATTAAATTCCTCACGAGTTCCCCCTGCCATTTCGTTTTCTTTTATTATTTATCTGTAAGGCCTGTCTTCTATATATTTGTGTTCACCTAGTTGTGTTTTTTGGGGGTTGAGCTTTGCTCTTTCGGCCCGCCTCTAAACTGTCAATCAACTGCTTACTGCTATTTTTTTTTCCACACCACACACACACACACCCCAGGAAGCTGCCCGTAACAGCTGACTAACTCCCAGGTACCTATTTACTGCTAGGTAAGAGGGACATTCAGGGGTGAAATAAACTTTGCCCATTTGTTTCTGCCTGGTGCGGGAATCGAACCCGTGCCACAGAATTACGAGTCCTGCGTGCTATCCACCAGGCCCCTACCATTTGTCCTGGCCTTTTCCTGCCCGTGATATCAAAAGAATCAAAGGCGATAAAATTGGCCAAACATCATACCCTTACCCTGTACACAGAGCAAATGAGTTAATTGATGCTCGGGCAACCACATCTAGAGTCGATAATCTTCAATAAATATATACAATTATTTACCTATAGTGGCCTCGACAAGGACAAAGCCAGCGGCTTGTGATAGATCCTCCACTTGTCCTGATGAATTTATGGAGCTAGATTTGTATTTCCTTTTTGTTATGTTGTATCATTTATCATGCACCCTATACCCATCCTGTGGGCGGGATGGGTATGGGATGCATACACACACACCAACCCACCCACCTGCACACAAATTTTGCAGTGTTAGACGGTTGGAACAAGTCAAGTAAGAAAGTAGTGGAGGCCAAAACTGTCATTAGTTTTAAAGCATTATATGACAGTGCTGGGAAGACGGGACACCACGAGAGTGGCTCTCGTCTTGTAACTATACTTAGGTAATTACACCAGCCCACACATCTGAATGGTAACCCACTTAAGACACATCTATATGCTCAGGCATTTTAAGAGTATTGTACTCTTACAATGTTATTCATATTACTCATGCATTGTAATATACTACTCTTTCCAGTTTCAGAATTGCTTTTAAATACATGGATGACGAAATATTAAAAAACTGTTCGTAACTTTTCTGGCACTAAATTAGGAATATGCAAGATTTGTATAGTGACCAGATCTTAAGCAGCACATCAGTAAACTGGAAAAGGTGGAAAGACATGCTACGAAGTAATTTCCAGAATCGAAAACATGAGCTACGAGGAAAGGCAAGAGGTGTTAAATATACCAAAGCCAGAAGACAGAAGTGAGGCAATATGATTACTACATACAAAATAGCAACAGAAATCAACAAAATTGACCAAGGAATTCTTAAAACCAGCAACTTCAAGAATAAGGGGTCATAGATTCAAGTTAACGAAACAAAGGTACTAGAAAATATAAAAAGTTCTTTTGGAAACACAGTGCCAGATGGTTGGAAGAAGCTAAGTGACAAGGCAGTAGAGGCTAAAACTGTCAGTAGTTTCGAAGTGCTGTATGACAAAGTATACAGGGAAGACTGGACACCGTAAGCATAGCTCTCATCCTGTAACTACATTTAGGTAATTAATTACCAGTCCACTCACACCAACACACCACATGATGAATTTTAACTTAAAAGTTAGGAGTGTTATCCTAAGCATTATCCAGTGATATGGCAGTTGATTAAATTTTAGATTAAAATTTTATCGCAGCTCTACTAGTTGGCCTACGTACTTTGCCAAGCGTAGGGAAGCATCTCGGCTGAACAAACCCTGAACCCTAACTGGAACCACTCAATGGAAAAAGGCACAAACAGTCCTGGATAACAACAATCACTACACACACCAAGTGCACCCTCAAGGATAGTGCAAACTTTGGACTAGATAACTGAATAGCAGACGACAACCTCATCAGCTTGAGTCAGTATACTGGGCCTTAGTTATTAGTCTGCATAACACATTAAAACATGTAGAGCTGCATTCCATGGGAGTTGTGTCAAAAATCAGCTTGTGGGTAATATAAGATACAAGGGTGTGTTGCCCTTAAATGAAAGTACTCAGCAAAGCAGAGTTGGACACTTCTATAAGGAAGAAATCCACACATATTAAAAGCAAGTAGCTTTTGGATTTGTGGTATTAACCTGCCATGAATGATCCACTCAGGACCTTACACATTCAGAAAATTAAATGAGCCAAAAATTTACAGTTCTAGCAGAGCACTAATAGTATTATAACAATAGATTTTTAATGAGCACCAGATATTGCATTTAATATTATTTGTAGCTCATGACACTTTTTTCACTCAACAAAAGGTATTAGAACACATTTTCTGGTAAAGTTTATTCCTTAAAACAAAATTGACATATTACAAATAAAAATAATAAAGTGACAAGTGAAGTCTAATTAATAAATACAATTAAGAAAGGTTGAACATTTTTATTACACACATATATATATGAAAATGCCACATATATGTCTAATTACATTGTTATAGTATTATCATAATCCAGCAGTCCTAATGAAAGAATTAGAACAGATATTTCCTAAGCCTGTGCAGATGACTGAGCAGATTCTTGAGCCTGAGATTGTGTCTGTGGTATTTGGTTAAATAGTCGATCTTTCACAACTTGAGCCATAAGACCATGTAGAGCTTCCATGGTAGTTTTGCAAGAGTCTCGTGTCACTCGACTCAATTTGTCTTCGGTTTTCTTTTCCTGAGGGTCTAATCCAAACAGTCCAGCACGCCCAAGGGCAGTTTCAGAATTTTCCAATTTGTCACTTAAATCAAAGATCTGACGAGTCATATATTCTGCATTCTGTTGATAGAACACAATAATAGAACAATAGAAGTAGTCATTCAAAGACAAAAACAGCCTTTGGGCAATTTTAACATTTCTAATTGTTAATAACAATATTATTCACCATTGACACTGATGTATAAAAGTGTACATGCACAACTCTCAAATAGTGGTAAAGAAAAGATTTACCAATGTATCAGTATCAATAGCATCAGTTTATTTTTGCAGTATTGGCATCAATAAAGTATCAGATGATACTGCCAATACTTTAACAATTTATGCACTCAAGTTTTCTTAAAGTAGGAATTTGTTTTAAGTTAGTTATGCCCCATATGAATCTAGCATTGTGTTTTTGTACAAAGTTAATATTTCAACCCATCCTCCTAAAATATACCTATAGCAACTATTTGGTTGTATATATAGAAATGGGCTGTTGCAACTAACAATATTCACATTTTGTACTCTTAATTTTATAGAAAGCACAAAAGAAAAAAACAGTGATGAATGCCATGAAACGGCTCTTCCTGGATGAGCCCCAGTGGCTCCCTGAAATTATCTCGTTGAGATCGTTCCCAACTATTGTACTGTACTAGGTCACATCAGTAATGGAGTTTTGTTTGACCTACCGGAAACCAGAAACAGAATCTGGTTCCCCACCCCCACAGAGGTACATAGTAGTAATACTAGTAATATTATAATTATTACTAATTAACTTATTCCAGCAGTGTATATGTCCATGCAAGTGGTAGATGAGAAATTAATGCAAAACATGATATGTAGTTTGGGCAATCTTAACACAAAATAGAAAACACTATTTATTATTCAACCTCAGTAATTAAAATAGATTATGCCAAAGAAAGCTAGAAAAAGTTGTCCTCCCTCTGCAAATACCATAAATTGCAATGTGAACCAACTAGTTAAGCTGCAATACAATTTTCGTCTAAAATTTAATCGAGTGTCATGTCACTGGATTATGCTGAGCATGGCAATCCTTAACTTTCACATCAACTCATCAATTAGTGGAACGATTGTGGAGGTGACCTGGTGTGTGCATGACCAGGTGGGTGTATCCTAGTGGGCACCTGCTTAGGTAGGTGTTGTTGAACTTTGCTGGCATGCATGTGCTTGCGAGTCAGTTTGTGTTCACAAGCTTGTGTGTATGAGTTGGCAACTAATGTTTAATTATCTAAATGTAGTTACAAGAGCTACGCACGTAGTGTCCTGTCTTCCCAGTACTCTTTATCATATGACAGTTTTGGCCTCCACCACCACCTCACTTAATTGTTATTCCAACTGTCTACCACTCTGTTTTCAAGAGATTTTTCTAATACTTTCCAGCACCTTTATTTCCAAACCTGCAGTCATTATGTCAACTTCTCGTGAGAGGTAAATATAAATTCTCTTACCTATAAGTGATCTTTCACCAGCATGGCAAATCCTCCACCTTTTCAAATTTTTCTGGCATGTCTCCAAATTGAGTACCCCCTTGGCAATATGACCTCATTTAAAACATTATCTTCAAGTTTCATCTCTCTTAGTGCAACAATAACTGGCATCTTCATTTGGCTCTAGTGTTTTTATCTCGCTCCATCTATGTTTGTACAGGTACATACAATTTTCACAAATATGTTCCCTCTCCCATTGTACTTTACTTCTGCCCCCCCCCCCTTTACTATTTTGTTTGTTTTTAGATACCATTTCACACGCCTCCCAATCACTATCACCCCCTTCCCCAAACCCTCTAGCCACACACACACACACGGAGAAAGAAGACCAGCATGAAACTACACCATAAAAACTAGACAACTACAAGAAACAGAGAAAAAGACCACCTGGGAGTGGATATAATCACACCACAAGCTCTTGTGAACTGAACAGTGTCAGTAGCACTGACAGTGGGAGCCGGTCGGCCGAGCGGACAGCACGCTGGACTTGTGATCCTGTGGTCCTGGGTTCGATCCCAGGCGCCGGCGAGAAACATTGGGCAGAGTTTCTTTCACCCTATGCCCCTGTTACCTAGCAGTAAAATAGGTACCTGGGTGTTAGTCAGCTGTCATGGGCTGCTTCCTGGGGGTGGAGGCCTGGTCGAGGACCGGGCCGCGGGGACACTAAAAGGCCCCGAAATCATCTCAAGATAACCTCAAGATAGCATGTGGCAAGTTGACCAAAAGCAGGAAAGATGTGGTAAGAACATACAATCACATGGAAATATATAGATGCCAAATACAATACGTATTTGTATTTGGAGATAAAATAAATGCCAGTTACTAGAGCATTCAAAATACTAGTGTAAGATAACTGAGCACGTACTTAATATATACTGCATAAAAAGAACCCAATTTACAATTCTTTTAAGAATTTATTCTACAAAACAAGAAAGAAGTTAGAATAATTTAAATACGGTACAGTGAACAGAGGCAGAACATATACTTACTGTAATAAGTGATGATGAGCTGAGAGTATTAACCCAGTACTTATTCCACAGTGAATCTAGAAGTTTCTTGTCGAGGGATGACTTGAAGTACGAAATGTCTAGAGAGTAATACTGCTTACAATGGACACCAAAGTCCTCAATCTTATTTAAGGGAATAGTTTGGTACTCAGAAGGTCCCTCATCTGGTGGCTTGTAACCCTGAGGAAATGCGTAAGTAATTTTGTTCATATAGTAATCAATTTTTATGATCATATAATTTTGATCAGCTTTTTAGGAAGACTATATATATTGTGCACCAGTCTGCTCGGTCCTATGTGTAATCTCAGAAGAAAAAGTCAAACATAAATAAAGCTTTGAATGAACATAACATAAGAATAAAAGAAACTGCAGAAGACCTATTGGCCCTATACGAGGCAGCTCCTATTTATAACCTCCCAATCCCATTCATATACATGTCCAACCTACGCTTGAAATAATCAAGAGACCACACCTCCACCATGCCACGTGGCAAGTCCGCTAGTTCATCCGAGTCTACATATAGTCTTCCAGGCTCATGTCAACCTTAGCTGTCATGTTTTAGAAATGGGATGACAGGATGTATCCTTAACAGAATGGCTTACTGAATGAATGTGAATGAAATGTATCTTTCTGAGCAAGCCACTTGGTCACTTCCCTAGGCAATAGCATGCTTTTTCAGGGATATGGCAAAGTACCAACCAAGCTTGCTGAACCTTCTCATCTACTATGCAATGGGGGTCTTTTCAATTTGTCAATGCCAAGCCTGTAATGAGGCTAGGGAGACATTGAATAATGTTGCTCAATGGAGCATAGAATGCCTGCTAGAAGACTCATTCTTCAACAAACAATGCGCATTCTCCAAGCAATACTTTACTTCAAATAGACCACTAAGATATACTGCTAGTTGGTCACCTGACTACTATTCTAACTCACCACAAGCTGCCAAAACTATACACCAGCTCGAGAAACTCTGACATTACTTTCATCCAAACTAGAATTTCAGAAGCACAGGATAATTCTGACAAAAGGAGAGAATGGGAATGACCAAGTAACTTTCTCAGAAAGAAGCTTTCCATCAACACTCAAAGCATTACTTCTACGGTGAACTCACTCTGGTATATACATCCTTAGTCGAGAATCTTCATGACAAAGATCTATAGAAGAAAAGCAGGAAATAATGAAAAATCAAATAAGGAACCTTACCTGTTCTGCGAACTAGTCCCCAGGGATTCATTCGTCTCACATAAAATAGACCACAAATGACAACAACATTTAGAATTGAAGGAATTCACAAAATCTTCAAGACTTTTAACAATGAATATACAGACGCCAACAACCAAACACATAGGTGGGATACCAACAATGCAGCTACCTCCAAACCATATAAATGGTGATAGACCCACATCAAAAACTCCAGACGCAAAGACTTGGAGGAGAATGTCAAACCAGCAAGGAATGCCTCATTACTGATCTGCTAGAAGAGGAGCTGCAGAAAAATTACAGGATTCAAACACCAGGTCAAAAGAGCTGCAAACCAAGGCTGAACTGGCCACCAAGATAGTTTCTGGCTCCTTTGTGGCCAGCCCAGCTCATCTCAACCCTGTCTGAATGTCTCCAATCTGAATAGCACCTGGAGCAACAACTGAACTGGAGGGAAGAGGTAAAGGAACCCGCATCTCAATCAGTTCAGCCATGCTTGCGACCTAACCTGAGGTCAAGGTGTTGCCGGCTCACACTGTCAAGCGCCATTATGTACAACTTCACCAAATGGCAACATACATGATTCTATAAAACTCTCTACTCTTTTCTTCCTTCAAGATACAATTAAGGAGAACCCAGAATTCATTCATTATAAGGGCAACCATAAGATAAAATTCTACATACGAAAGTACTTGTGACAACATATTTAATCTCTTCCCTAGCAATGAAGTGTTATGTCAAAGCCAGGCCAAGAATTCACTCTCACAGCAAACTACTGTGCAGGTGTGCAGATACGTCTATACAATCTAATCTATTTAGAATACATAACTATGAACAGTTAGGCTGTTACATTGTATCCATATTCTTAATCAGTACTTCAGATGCAATTCTTGAATGTGAAGTACACTATATTTATACAGTAATTATAAATTGCATATCACATTAACAACTGTATACTGCATATTTTCAGATTAAAGAAAACACTGAGTCTACTAAAAACTTTTCAAAACTAATGTACACTAAGTCTAAAACTTTAGATTAATTTATTTGTTTTAATTGGAAAAACTTTAAATAAAACATTCATACAACAGAATAAAAGCAATCATTTGGAAATGTTTAACCTATAGCTAAAGCAATTATTGTTGTAAGAAGCATGTAATCTGAGTGTACATATGGAAACAGCAACTGAGAATTTTCGTAAGGGTACAAACACACAAAAATATCTCACCTTAGGGTAAGTCCTGAAAGCTCCAATATTGACTTTACCAGAGCTGATGGTTCGAATTGGATCAATAACAATAGCTACAAATGGCTCTTGATAATTCTGATTCAGCATTTGGGTGGATACATCAATGCCGGATAACCAGCAGCCATAGCCTGGATGGCTGTGGTACCAACCAATCACATTTTCCTGACGACCAACCTGAAGAAACAAGTGGAACATGGCACAAACACAAGAATATCATATTTCATGCCAATATATTTATAATTCACATTACAGTGATGCATTTAATATATATACCTGTATACCTTATATATAATCTCAGTAAGCCATCTTCGTACATATCCTTACCTTAACCAACCCTCACAGCCTAATGCTGAAGAAGCAATAAACTGCTTTGGCTCCAATCTTAATATAAAATTAATAATGTAGTATGATAAATGAAAGACAACAAACCTGCTTAGCAGCTTCCACATAAGCTGTCATATACTCATAAGCTTGTGCCTGAGCATTGACTCTTGTCTCAGTGCCTTCCACAGGCAGGGCAAAGGAATCCATTACAATCATAGTTGGGCCATCTACCTTGCCTAACATCAGACCCATCACCTGCAATTGGAAAACAAAAGTTAAGGTGTTAATAACATTATCTACAGCCATTTACAAAAAACTTATTGGAGGAAATATATTTATTAATTAATTTTTGGTTAATAGCATCCTGTTTCAAAATCTTACTGAAGCGACCATACGAGTAATAAAAACTTTGATTTATTATTATAAATGAACTATTGTTTAGTTATTAATATAGCCTAATATTAATGATACAATTAATTTGATGTCAGTTGGAAGGACTGACTGATCATACCACAGATTACTGAATAGAATAATCTTACCTCTTGCTGTTGATGATATTGATCGAGACAGGTGTTCTCCTTAATGGGGTTAATAGTGTAACCATTTTGAAATACTTTCAAAGGAGTCTATAAATCTTGGGTGGGGTCAGCTTCCCCTAGAGACCACCTCCTCTGTTCCCCCATCCTTTATCTCCTTTCAACTTCCCTCCCTTTAAACCTTTCCCAGTGTCCCTGTTTAATGGAAGAGGATGATCCCACTTCCTTGCCCCTAATCGTCTACAGCCTAGTACAGTACAACACTCACATTCTAGAGTAACTGAATAGCCCTAATTATCAGCATCATTAAGCTTGACATTACAACTTGGAGGGTCGATTTTCTTCAGCTAGGGTATTTTTAAAGTTCAAAGTTTGCAGAGTCTCAACCCTCCAATTCCTTCCCAACCCATTTAAGATATCTTCTAAGTCGTGTTAATGCATTTTCTGTGTGTTACAAGGCAATGCAAAGAAACACACACATAGTATTGCCTCAAAGAAAAATACAGTACCATACCTAAAATTACTGGAATTTTTATATAAATAAATACATCCTAGGTATGTGATTTCAACTGAGGATATTGACAAAATAAGTTTCTTGGAAGTATATACATGTGAATATTTGCAAAATAATTCTTATTCATTTTGGCAACACAACCATGCATAAATGTCAAGTTTCCAGGAATATTACCATCAGGAAACCAGAAGCCCAATGGAAAAACAAGAACAGAAATAAAATACAAAAATTTAAATATACAACAAAACAGCTACAGTATTCCCACACACACATTTCAATAAGAAACTTGTAAGGAATATTATTCATTCTTTAGTATTTTATGTGTGTCTGGCTATACTGTATATGCATCAGAAGAGTTTTTAATAACATATAAACTAAAATACAGTAATGACAAACCTCAAGAGTGCCTCCTGATCGAGCATGCATCACCATCTTCAACAAAGCCAAAGCAGAAATCTTGATCTGCTTGAAGAAATGTGGGCTGAAAAATAATTAATTTTTGAAATATATTAAGTAAATACGTAACTGTTTTCTGATGACAAATATGAAAGGCAAATGAACTATATTAAGATTAAATGATAACATTCCAACTTCGAGAAAATGTGAACATCATTTTCTGATCAATACACTCGGTTGCTTCCTGAGGCAAGATTCTACCGATTCTTAGTTAGGATCTCCCGCACTTACAGCGTCAATAATACAGTGAAGCCGCGGGAAACTTTACAAACTGTCTACATTGGGCTCATAGTGGTGCTAAGGAGACACTGAAGAATACTTTATCAAGCCCAGCATGCAGTCATTAAGTGTTCATTTACAAGACATTATTTGTAACATCTTTATTGACAAAATTAATTAAAATTTTGCCTAATCTGAGTAATTCAATTAGGTCTTAGTAGAGTGAGGATGATGCTGGCATTCACTGTCACACAGGACAGAGGATCATACACAAGGCAATAGGTTTAAACTGTAGACTAAAATGTACATGTATATCATGGTAGTAGAACCAACTAGGAAAGAAAGCACCTTAGATATTATTTTTACAATGATAACAGATTAGGGACATAATGATTACAAATACTTGTTACTCAGATCACAACCTAACTGAAGTTCAGACATGCATGGGCAATAGACCTGTGTTGCTAGTTTTAAATCCATGAGGAGGAAAATTCACCAAATTCAATTTCAATAACAAACATTAACTGGGAATAAATAAACCAAGCCCTCACAGAAATAGGCTTGGAAAGAGCTAGATAATGCTAACTTAAACCAATGTCTGGAGAAAATAGGCACAGTAGCACTAGAAATATGTGCAAGTCAAATACCACTAAGGAGAAAGAGAAAAAGGTGCAAACTGGAACGAGAATGGTGTTTACTCTTTAGGCAATGAAAACAAATTGCAGAGTATCTCAAACACCCAATTCTATCCCAAGAACAACAATCGAGCTAAGGTTGCAAGAATCATATAAAATCCAAGAAAGGCAGAGAGAGGGCAAAAGGCCATAAGTGAAATAGAGAGGAATTCGAAATACTTTATCTTCTATGCTAAATCTAGAACAAAAATTACATCCTGCATTAGGCCCTTGCATAAGTGATGGAACCTTCACAGATGACAGCAAAGAAATGAGTGAAAGATTGAGGCTACAGTATGGTTCCATTTTCAGTGAAAATGGAACCATACTGTTCCTTGAAGACATTGCAGATTAATGATCCAAACAAATTCTTTATGAATGTAACACCACCACCAAACCGTATATCAGATGTTACCTATTTTGAAGTAGTTATAAACAGCATGCCCATGCACTCTGCACCTAGCCCAGATGCCTGGAATTCTACATTCATCAAGAATTGCAAAAATCTACTACCACACGCCCTAAACATCTTTTGGAGATGGATTCTTGATACTGTCATTATCCCCGACATACTTAAAACAGCAGAGATCACCCCTTCACAAAGGAGGTAGCAAAGCTGATGCAAAAAATTACAGACCAATAAGTTCTAACATCACACATCATAAAAATCTTTCAAAAAAGTGCTAAGAAGTAAGAACACAAAACACATTGAGGAACATAGGATCAGAACAGAGTGCTTCTGCCTCTTGCAATTGCTAGACCACTATGACAAGGCCTTAGATGCCATGGAAGACAAACAGAATGCTGATGAATTATACACAGATTTTGCAAAGGCTCTGACAAATGTGACCATGGTGTTATTGAACACAAAATACACACAAAAGGAATTACTGGCAAGGTATGGAGATGGATCTTTAACTTCCTAACAAACAGAACCCAGAGTGTAATAGTCAACAAAGTAAAATCTGAATCATCCACCGTGAAAAGCTCAGTTCCTCAAGGTACCGTACGTACTCCAGTACTTTTTTCATCCTCATATAAGACAGACAAGGATACAAACTATAGTACTGTATCATCTTTTGCCGACAACACAACAATTTTCATGAGAGTAGACACTACAGAGGACACAGGAAACCTCCAATCCAATGTTAATCTAGTCGCTCAATGGGCCACAGAAAATAACATGATGTTTAATAGGGATAAATTCCAGTTACCACACTATGGAAAAACAAAAACATCAAAGCAGAAACCCCCATATAAAACACAGTCAAACCACACTAGTGAAAGAGAAAGCCGTATAAAAGATTTAAGAATAATCATGTCGAAAGTTCTTACTTTTAGAGAACACAACAAAGTTGCTATCACAACTGCAAGAAAAATGACAGGTTGGATAAAAGATGCCATGCCAATGATGATACTTTTTTTAAGACAATAGTGCCCAAAAGAGTGGAATACTGTTGCACACTAACAGCCCCATTCAAAGCTGCAGAACTGCTGACCTGGAGAGCATGTAAAGATCTTTTACTACTACATTCGACTCAATAAAACATCCAAATTCTTGGGACCTCCTAAAACATTTAAATCTGTATTCCCCGAGTGCAGGTGGGAGGGTTACATAATTATTTACAACTGAAAAATATTAGGACTGGTTCCAAATCTACACATATAAATACACGAGACCAAAAAGGTATGGCAAGATGTGCAAAACAGCCCTGCTGTAAAGCAGAGGTGCAACAATCACGCTGAGAGAGTACTCGATCAAAATCAAAGGCCCAAGACTTTTTAACACACTTCCCCTAGACATTAGTTGTGGCACATATGGCTGATTTCTCGCAGCCAAATCTTACCAAATACAGTATATGTTAACCTTTTTTATATCAACAATACTACCATGAAAAATCTACATACTCTTTTTCCCAGGGTTTAGCTTGGAGAATGTCCTGTTGTTGTTTGCGATCATACTGGTATATTTCATCAGCAGCATTAACAGACTCCATATTGTTGGCCATTTCCCATGTGCGTTGAGCAATCTGGGACTGGCACATGCTGGTGCTGCTGCCTTCACCCGTACTTGAAGATGCCATTATTGTTTAATCTGAAAACAAAAATATTGTGAAAACCTGAATAACAAGTGAGCTATTAGGTCAGTACAGTATATGCCTATGGAGAGGGTGGGGGGGGGGACCACTTCGAAATGCCTAATTGGAATCCTCTATCAATGGGAAATCAAGTAGAGTGAAGATATTTGTGAATGAGGACGTGAAATGCATCACTAAGCAAAAGACAGGTGGCAGAGGGTAACGAAAAGGTACTAATCAAGGTGGTGTATAGGCCCCCAGCCCTGGACCAAGTCGATCAGTGATCGGTACCTGGTTTAGCAATTCAGTATATATAGTCCACCTTGTTTTATATTTGAAGTACAAATTTAGCTATTACCAATGCCATGTTAGGTTTTTTCGACTATTAGACACAACAAGGCCAATTTACTACCTCACAACGATGAGCAAAGAGAAGCACCGCAGGGCCCGCCAGCCCAGTGACGAGTGTTTATTTTGATGGTCCCTCACTAAAGATGCTCGCTATAGAATAGAAATAATTTACTCTGCAAATCTATAAAAGTTTTAGCAATTGGTAAAGACCTTAGAAAAATATACAATTATAATTCAGGCAGTTCATTGTAAACAATTATGTAAATATATATCAGCTACACTTTTTTTTTTTAGATAGTTTTTTTACTTTCGTAAAAAAACATGTGCTTTACAGAGGCACATAATGGGCTCAGGGACTGAATTCCACAATTCATTTAGCTAAGCAAGTTAAAATCTTGATGAGCTAGTTACAAAATTCAGTATAAGTCGTCACATCATCAATGGGTTCGAGATCGACTCCTATTTTTTTTTTTTTTTTTAGGTATACACAGCAATGTGCTGCTACTATACCAGGTACTCTGACCTCTACTTCATACACTCACGAATATGGGCGCACCCGATCCCACGATCGTCGTCGCCCCTAAATCAACACAACAACACTCACGAATATTTATTTATTTATTTATTTATTTATTTATTTATTTACAAGAAGGAACATTGGGTTTATGAGAGTACTGTACACAGCATTGAAGTTTTACATGCTTGTTGTTAGATATTGAAAGATATTCTTGTAATCTATCCTATGAGATGGAAATATTGGATGAACTTATAGCCAACTGTTTAGTCAGAACTGTTTTTTTGTATTAAGGTAGGTATTATCTTTCCCTAATTCCTTGTATGACTAACCATCCTGTGAGATGGGAATAATAGTTGAACCTATAGCTAGTTCTTGATCTACACTGTTTAATATCTCATATAGAATAGGGTAGCAGCACATTGCTGTACTGTATATACCTAATTTTGCTAAATAAAAAAAAGTGATTTACCCAGATTTTGGTAGTGCAGGCTAATAGATCAGCCTCGCATTTCATGTTCTAATTAAATTAATTGTGGGGTTCACTCCCCCGAGCCCATTATGTGCTTCTGTAACCCTTTCCACTACCGCCTACAGGATGGGTATGGGGTGCATGATAAATTAACTAAACTAATGCCTGATTCCATGTATGACTAACCATCTTCTGAGACAGGGATATTAGATGAACTTATAGCTAGTTTTGATCTACACTAATCTTTGATACAGAATAGGGTGGCTGCACATTGCTGTGTATACCTAAGCTTGTTAATAAAAAAAAACTACTGCTGCATAAGACAAAGACCACATATTACTATTCTTAAATTATATTTACCTGAGGGCCACCATCTATCTCTATTGGCCTCAATGGGGACAGGAAGCCGGCAACATGCCAAAGGTCTTCCCTATTGTTTCTAGGGATTTTTTCAACTTGATTTTGATCTAAAGTAATGTCTTGACCTTTACGGCCTGATGAAAGAGCATCTCTGGATGAAAGAACATCTCCTGTTTTCTGCTCAACATTTCAGCTTGCTGAGCATTAAGCTGTTGCCCCATACATGTGTTGTGTTTAATCTTTTACAGAAGTAGTCTAGATTAATATCCTCACACTTGTTCCATATTTTAAAGGTCTTGGTGAAATCATCGGTCATGTCTGGTTTGCAGTATTGTTAGTCCTGTGGCCCTCGACCGTTCCTTGGGATGATTTTTCTTGGTGTTGTATTGTCTCTGAAACAGGTACTTTCCTCTAAAACAAACTTTTTTTTTTTTTTCCTAAAGTGGGTTTCCATGCTTAGAAACAGTAGTCCAGGTAGGGATACACCAGAAAAATTAATAGTTGAATAACCTCTTTTTTTTCCTGAAAGGTCGTTTGATTATTTCTAGTGTGGTTAGCCATTTGTTTTTACTGCAGCTCCTGCACTTGTTGTCCAACTTTCAATGGATGGTGGATCAAAACTCTTTGATGGGCCTGTTCATATGTCAATAGGTCGCACTGCAGCAGCCTGTAGAATATGTACAAGGAAAACATATGTACATAGACCACAAGTGTGAGACTGAATAACTGGCTTAGCTCCTCTCAGAATTTGCTGCACTACAACGTACCACTAATACACTGAAGAACAGTTGAGGAGTAATTTTCTGGGATTCAAAATCAGCTCTTCAGGCCCTCAAAAACCCAACATGTAAAATAGATACTAGGAATGTAGTAACATTCTTCATAAACAACATTATTAATGCACAAAGCAAGAGTCTCAGTCTCATTTGTATGGGTACCATCTCATATAGGTGTTGCCCAGCATGATGACACAGACAAATCAGCTAAAGCTGCATGTGTTAAGTCTCAAATTGGGTTGGATATGGGCATTCTAATCTATGCTGTAAAAGCCGCAATATTTCAGGAAATTAGGGATGACAGAATAGCAGTTACTGACACTCAAAGGCCAGAAAGCACTTGTATAAAAAGCTATGACATGTTTAGAACTGAGAATTATATGGGCAGGCAGCATAAAATATCCACTAGACTGTGACATTGTAATTGCCAGAATTAGGCTGGGATATTGATACCTATGTGGCTGCAGGTAATGAATCCCCCAGTGGTGAACATTCCAATTGTAACTATGTGAACAAGAGCTGGGACATACTCTCCAACACTATACCCTGTAACTGTGATTGCCCTGTTATAAGTGACTGCAGACAACATGGTATGAGGTACTTTCAGCTCTGTAAGTACTTCATACACTCAGGAATATTGGAAGATATTCTTGAACTGTACTCAGATTTTGCTAATGGGGGCTAATAGATCAGTCTTACATTTCATGTTCTCTCATGATTCCATTTATGACTAAGCATCCTGTGAGATGGGGATATTAGATGAACTTATAGCTAGTTTTTTATCTACATTGTGTAATCTTTCATATAGAATAGAATAGCAGGATATTGCTGTGTATAACAAAGCTTAATAAACAAAATGAAGAAGGTGAAATGTCACCTTTTGAAGGTGACATTTCCAACCTAGGAAACTTTCCCATGGTCCAGGGATGTTCCGAATAGAAGTCTCAGTGGTAGATACAGTTCATCGGTTAGTTCTTGTATGATTTTGATTGAATTCCATTCACACCTGGGGCTTTAGATTCTTAACTTGTCATGCTCTTCCCCGATTGATTCGCTTTATGGGAATACTGTAGCTCTTAATTCATTCTCTTCACCTGTTTCAAACATTTGCATGGCTATTAGGATGTTGTCTAATCTTTCTAGTGAATATTGATGTAAGTATGCATTCAGTGTTGGCTGCCTTTATATCATCAATTATAACTTTGTTGGTCTCATCTTTTAAGGATTCTACCGTCTTGGTTTTACTTCTTTCATACACAAACTACTAAGTATCTTTCTTACAGTCCATCCTCCTAAAATGATAGTACAGTACTTATATTAACTACTTGATTGAAAGTACCAATATGCAGTGCTGGACCCCCCAAAAAATTTGAAATTTAACTTACCTCTTTTTTTAAGAGGTAACATTAAACAATTATTAATCTATATGGAAATATTTAAATGGATAAAAGAAAACAGCCTTGATAAATTATATACTTTATTATAAACTGCAAACCAGTAATTCTACATACGGTACACATCTGATGACAGCGAGACAGAGATTAGGAGAAGTTACATTTAGCTTTATTAAAAAATGGCAGTATAATGAGTTTCATCACCATACATGTTTAATCTATCCACTGACCAATAAAGTATTAAGTGACGACACCTAGTTATGACTTCAAAAATTAAATAATATTTGCATTCCATTCCTTAACTGGGACAAGTTTAATGAAACCATTACACTGCATTTGAACCACTAGTTTTGTCACTTTTTATTATATAACAGCCTACCAGTATAAATTTTACTTGTAAAACTCGTGATCAGACTCATCTTTCTTCACATTGTTCTTGTAGGCCTTCTCGAAGTCTTTTGCCAAGACAATATATCTGTTCTCTCGGACAGCATGCATACCAGCCTCTTGACAAATGGCGTTGATATCAGCTCCTGATATACGATCAGGACGAGCCACATAGTCTTCTAGATCAAGGTCATCACTTAAATTCATTCTTCCAGTAATGGTTGTGAAAATTAAACGCTTTTGTCGTCGATCTGGTAATGGAAATTCAATCTTTCGATCTAGCCGACCAGGACGTAACAGAGCAGGATCCAACGTATCTGCACGGTTGGTTGCCATAATCACCTGAAAAGCAAATATGGTTTATTCATCTTAATTGTTTTCCAATTTGTCTGACAATATTTGCAATTCTCACAATTTTTCCTATATAATAAAAGGTAAACACTTTTTCACCATTAAAAATCACAAAATGAGAGAAATAGTTATCTATGGTGTTGACAAGATTCTTTATAAGGTATACAATATATTTTTGATCACCCAAGGTGCTATCCTTTTAGATAGGTAACATTTCATCTGCCTTTTAGTGTTAAAGTAACATCTGTTGGTTTGGTTATGCAAGTACAGTAATTAGTTTTTGAGAAACATGAATAGGTGGAAAAAAGGCAACCTCAGAATCATTAAAAAAATAAGTACAAAGTAAACATAAAAGAATAATAAAGCAGGATTTACCAAGGGGTAACATGGAGGTAGAGAAAATAATGCTAATCACCAATCAGTTACAGAAAGAAAGCCACTTTGTATTATCAGACACACAGGAACAGTACTACTGAGGAGGATAATTATCATCACTAAGGCTGCACCACTGCAGCCCCAAGTGATTGAATACAACATTTTATATTTTCATATTACTTAAAAAAGCCACAAGTCAAGAACTTTGGATGTAGTGAAGCGATGAAATCCTAATGTCATAAAATCTTAAGCATTGACAATGCAGACTCTCAGTTGGTTCATTCCCAGAGGGAAAAAGAGGGCTGTGTTTCCCGTGCACATTTTATATATTGTTTTAATATAGTTTTAATGGTTTTCTTAGTTTTTTTCAAGAGTAATGACTCACTGGGCTGTCAATTGCAGCATTCATATTCTTTGAATGATAAAACATACTATTTTTATTGTTATCACACTACACACATTGATCTATTCATTCATCTATCGTCTATCCTTCCATCTGACAGTATAACAAAAGTATTAAATAAGAATTTTATTATGTAGTTCTGAATAAATCATGGATGGGGTAGTATGAAAGTAATTAACTGAAATTTAGAAGATCTTACCTTGACATTGGTAGTCTGATCAAAACCATCCATCTGGTTGAGTAACTCGAGCAAGATTCGCTGTACTTCACGATCAGCGCCCGTTTGTGCATCAAATCTCTTTGTAGCAATAGCATCAATTTCATCAATGAAGATAATTGCTGGAGCATTTTCTCGAGCCAATCTGAATACATCCCTCACCATTCGTGGTCCTTCACCCAAATATTTCTGAACAAATTCTGACCCTACCACACGAATGAATGATGCTGTAGTGTGGTGTGCAACAGCTTTGGCAAGCATGGTCTTACCACATCCAGGAGGCCCAAACATCAATACACCCCTGGGAGGGTCAATACCAATTTGTTTATACAAATCAAAATGAGTGAGGGGGAGCTCTACAGCTTCTTTGATCTCCTGCTTCTGCATATCCAAACCTCCAATGTCTGAGTAAGCAACATCTGGTTTCTCATCTGCTTGTAGCATGGATATAGAGGAGTCTGCTTCTGGGGGTAAAACATCAACAAGAGCATTACTGTGCTTGTGCAATGCTACAGATGCTGATGGCTTTAGTAATTCTCTATCAATTGTTGATAAGATTCGTACATAATAATTGGAACCTGTGGTTGAACCAACAATACCGGTGTTTTGATCAACTGCCTCTAGAAATTGTCCAATCACTAATGGTACACTCTGAATTCTCTTAACCTGAAAAAGAAAATACTTGTTAGTTCAGAGATATTCTGAAAATAATATTTAGAAATATTATAGTACCACACTCAAACATTTAACCAAATTATGCATTTCATAACTATATTAAGCATTAAATAACTGATTAAAAAAATACAACATTAATTTCACTCATTGTACAACATAGTCTCCTCCACACATTGAAGATGGTTTACCAGACCACAGCAAACTGGCATCATGAATAACATCCCAGCAGCAGCTCTGTGCCACCATAATGAAGATTAAAAAAAAAAAGAGGCATAAATGCGCATTCATTAAAACTTGAGTAAGAGGGCAGTGCAAAAGTATCCATCCCCTACTATAAGTAAGAAGCCCTTTGCACTTCTTACTTATAAGTCCAAAGGGTCAGAGATCTTGCATCCTTGACTAAAGAACAGGAAGGGCCTGCTTCCAAATCACACAAGGGCAAAGACCTTAGAAGGAAGATAGAAAAGCTTCCACCAACTGAAACAATAATACCATCAGAATATCTGGTATTGTGCACAGTTAGCTTCAAGAGTAAACAGTTTTTGCAGACGTTGAGTCACAATAACGTGGCTTAAGATATGAAGATTAAACCACACACACCAGAAAATGAAGAGACGAAAACATTTAGGTCCGTCTGGAACCTTGGTTTGTGTGGATCTCGTGTGTGTAAATCGTTTGCAGAGTTGTTTAGTGGTTTCGAGGCTTCATTTTTTGTAAACCCTCTAGTTGTCTGTAAGGCTTTGCTGAATGTCTGGATACTTACCTGGTGGGGTGGCCGAGTGTTGTCTCTGTGCTCCCTGCACCTGTGTGTGTTTGGAGGGGGGAGGGGGGCCAGGTTCTGACTCTTGGTTTCAAGTAGGCCAAACAGAACTTACGTGACTGGTGTGACTTTTAGTATAGTCTTGGCAATATAGTTTCTGGGAACCACTGGTGGCCTCCCCAAGAAGAGTCTAATGTGATCAGCAAAAATAGAGAATCAAGTTAAACAAAAATTTAGAACAAAACAAATCAGAGCACAACCCACCTCTTCTTGAGCATGTCTGTATTCCTTCTTCAGATTATGTAGTTCATCTTTAATGTAGTCTTCCTGAACACGGAGGTACTCTAAGTTCTGTAAAAGACGCTTGTATGTGTTGTAATCATCTCGGGTGGATTCCTCATTCACAACCGTAAATCCACCGACTACGGGGCCTTTCACATCAACCGTTTCCTCCACCTTTAAAGAGCAATGAAAGATTACAATACAGGTATTTTGCAATTTTCATCTCGCTTTTCTCTTTTTTTAAAGCGAATGTATTGCTTATATGCTAGACATGTACTAAACTTGAAAAAATGGTATGTTTTTAAAACTGTTAGGCATTTTGAAATGTTAAGAAATTATTTGCTAAAAAATTCTGTAATTAGGATTTGTATAGACATTTATCATTAAGTTAAAAATTATTCAAATATGTAAAATTGGAGGTGGTAGTTAGGCCTAAAAGCTAAAATAGTTTTTTTCTCCATTATACAGTACTATAGTAAACCTTTGTTTATTTGAATTATGCAAGACAGTATGAGGGTAGGATGGCTAGAATTAGCCAAATGCAGAATTACTAGAGGGAAATTCTTTAAATATTTTAATATCACACTTGCCACTTACTTTCCATAGCCATCAATTTAAACAAATTGAGGTTTAAATGAGGAACTAAAGTAGTCTTATTTGTTAAAAATACTAGACTATAGATATGCATTAGAATTTACGGTATAGAGTACTGTACATAAAAGACTGTACCATACCCCACGGCACTGACCGGGGAGGAACTCAAAGTTCCCCCCAGTCAGTGCTGTGGTGTGCAGTTCCCAGTCAGTAAAAGTCAATTTCTTAATATATCAAGGTCACACTATGTTATCTTGAAATAAAAAAATTCAATAATGTAAAACTATTTTTAATGAAAATGATCCTGTTGCTTCAAAACAAGCTCAGCATGGAGGTTCTACTTCAATTAGATTTTTATGTTATAATTTTTCAATTAGTTGACTTCAATTAGTTGTCCTTTTTTTTTTAAATGTAAGCAAAAATTAATTTTTTGGTTCACATTGTCAACCTTGCTGTATGAATATCAAGGGTTAAAATTGTGCTAATGTATTTTGCTTGATGTACTCTAACATCCTACCAAATTTCATGAAAATCTGAGAAATCCGAGATGGAATGATTCCTCATCAACCAAATCAAGAAATATAGAACTAAAAAAATATAACTACAATTTATAAGAGATAAATTTTAAAACATAAGATTGATTACATAGTAACTAAGGTGGTAATCCTAGGGATAAATGCTTCATCCATCAGTAGTTTTTAAAATCACTCCTAAAGCAGATAGACAACTCATCTGTGAGACAATACTATCAAAACCACCCTTTTCCCATTTTCAGGCAGAATGGTTAATTTAGTTTATACTACATAGGTCACCCGGTGGAGTCAGAGCGACTCCAAAAAGTTGCGACCTTCAGGTTTTGGGAGTTCAGGTTGACCCGGTGCTTGGGATGATCTGGGTACCAAAAGGTTATAATAATTATTATTCGTTATGTTAGGGAACTGGTACCCTGTGCATGTATATGTTAGGCTTATATTGAGGCATCCGCTCCCCATCCCATGGTTACTAAATGTACTCTACCTTACTCTACCATAATCTATCCTAACCTATCTGAATTGTGACAACTCCCAAACGTACTTTGACTCACAGTCTCTTGCCTAACCTCTGACTTTTCGAAAAACAGCAACACTTTGATACCACCATTAACACAACTCCATCTTTGCCATCCCGAGTCCATTTCCACTCATATGTTTATTTTTTCATTATCCTACAGTACACATTCAGAAGACATCGATAACTTCCAATCTCTGCCAAATTATGAACACTGATGCACCACTGTGAGTACAGCATCAACATCACCACTCAGCACGTATCACGAAGAAGACCTTCTTGAGGATGTAACCGCACAGCAGTACTCCCAGGTATTTATTTACCAAGTTTACCCGAGGTAAACTAGAGGGAGTGCTAGTGGCATCTATCGAGGAAACTAGCACTCTAGTGGCCTCGACGAGGACAGGAATCAGCAGCTTGTCAAAAGTCTCCCATTTGCTTTGATGATCTTTTCCAGTTAGATTTTAAAATTTAACAGTTATAACATTTACGACTTTACCGAGTAGGTGGCTCCATGGATTTATGTGGGGTGAAAAGCAACTGTTTTCAGTCTTACATTGTGGCTTATTGAGTTTGAAACTTTTGCTCCTTGTTTGTGTTACATCTGACCTTTTGAAGAAATTGTCTGGATCGACATCCTCCAAATTTGTCAATATTTTAAGTCTCAATGTCATGTCATGTCTGGTTGGTAGTGTTAGCCCAGTGGACCTCAACTGTTCCTGGTATGCGAGTTGATTTAACTCTAGAATGATTGTTGTTGTTTACCTAATGCCTCTGTTCACTGCTAGGTGACAGGAAACTGGCCTAACAATTTCTGTCCTGTCACACCTCCCGATTGTGAGTCGAAAACAAACCTAACTAATACCGAGATCCCTTACTCTATTATTATACAGGTATATGTATAACAAGTTTAGGATGGGCAAGGTTAAGTTAGGCAAGGTTAGCCAAGTTATAAAATCCGTTGATAGTGTTTTGTGTATTTGTACCCAGTTCAAGTGGTCACTAAACCTAACCAGACAATCTTATCTTGCCTATCTTGATCTTAATTTAATAAATGCACGAGACACAAAATTCCCTCGTAAACACGTTTGTTACGTAGATGGTGTAGACGAACAATCGAAATTACATCTATCTCAGTCACCACAGACACTCTTTGAGAAACAAACCATTCCCAAACTCCTGAATGAGGATGACTGAGTTTCCAGCACCAGTATTTCACCTCCGTTTCTCACTTCTACACACCAAAAATACCTCCCAGAGCCCTGTGCCGAGAGCACACGGGGCCGCCACGCCATCACCGCCACACACCACCACCCAGTTTCAATCGAGAATACCAGAAAAAGCCGAACCTTTTCAGTGGCGACAGTTATCCCTATTTCTTCCATGTTTGTGTGTCACCTGGAGCTGCCCGCGCCGACCCTCGACTTCCACCGTGAACTCCCGCCTGGCGTTCGTCAGCCGGATTCCCTCGAATTCTGTGTCAGTTCTTCGACCTTCTATATTTTTCCTGTTTACCTGAATTTACCTGAGGGGGCACTAACACTCTAGTGGCCTCGATAGGGGTAGGACACCGGCGGCTTGTCAAAGGACCCCCTCCTCACATTTGTCCAGATGATTTTCTTAAAAGCTGGATTTTAATTATCATATTTTATCGGATATTTTAATATTGGATAATATTTTAATATTGATAATATTTTAATATTGGATAATACTTTAATTTTGGATAATATTTTAATATTGAATAATATTTTATATTATCAGTGTAGAAGCTAATATTAAACATCCACCGAGGCCTGATTTTATGCCCTCTGTACCCCTTTTTCTGGCTAGGACTCACAGGACGAGTAAGAGATGCAATAAATTAGCCGCCGTTAGAGGAAACAATAAAAAGCTAATCATGTTTAAACTCGTGGTATGAATAATGCTCTTCATTAGAAGGATAATATTTAGCTGTAAACCTAACCACTCTTATGTTTTTTCCTCTCGTCTCACTGACTAGTCGTAAGGGTAAAAGCCAAATTATGGTGTCACTGTCAGATTGGCTAAAATGGTGTACCTTGCATGAATCACAACTTTAGTGGGTTATGCTTCACTTCTGACATTGTTTAGTGCTTAAGAGAAAACTTGCAGGGCTCGAAAAATTGCAGAACGAAGCCTAGAGGATTATCCTTGGATGCCTCCCCTACCATAAGATAATATGAGAGAGGAACTTAATATTCCGAGCGTCACTGATCATGTTAATTGAATTTAATTGTCTGATTGGCATAAAAATGCTTAAGCTATCTCATTCTAACCTTTGCGCAGAAGCCCCCCAGAATTTCTTTATTGAGGGTGAACATTGTTTAGAATGGATTACTAAGACTGGAACTAAACTCAGAATTTATCAGAATTACAATTTGTACTAAGAGAGTTAATAGCGGCGCCTTCCTGCACCGTGGAGATTACACCCTTTCCAATTTTAATCTCTCCCTTTCCACCCAAGAAGCAAATTTAAGATCAGCCCAAGTTTAGTCTTGGGGCAAAGCTTAAAGCCTTAAGCCATATTGATGCTCTGTCCACAGAACATTCTCTCTCAGACTACATACACTGATGGTTCCTACACCGCCCCACGGGTGCAGCTGGAAGTGCAGTTGTCCTGACAGTAGGTGATGGCTTTCTTGCTATGCGTGTTAGTGGCTTTGCAATAGTGTAATATTCACCAACCAACATATGTACTTTAATAACCCATTAAAAATTTTTGTGTATGAATAAATAAATAAACAACTGGGCCTCTACCCTTCATACTGAATTATTTGCCATATTCCCAATCAGATATTACCAATTTCCAAATTTAATAAATTAATTGCAAGTGATTTTTTATCGTACTTAATTACGCTCAACTCTTTAAAGACACAATTGTAACATGCTCGTGTCTGAAGCAAAACACAAATTACAACAAAATTAGTAATGATGGTAACAGTCCATTTCATATGGATTCCATCACATGTTGGCCTTCGACCTAGCACAAGGTAGGTAGATTACACACAGAAATCACAATTGCGTGATGCATCAAATACCTATACCGCCCCACGGTAACCTCAGTCGATTAAGGCTGCGTCTGGGATGCTCTCGGACGCAGGTTCGAATCCTCGTCACGGCCCTTGTGGATTTGTTCAAGGTAGATAGATCAACACAGACAACCACCGTAGGTGAGATATGAGTAGATGAATGAATAATATAGTGCTGCCAAGGCAGAACGAGCACTATATTAATCGAGACCATTTCTTAAAAATAAAAGGTTCAATATATCTCCGACAAGGGGCAACATCGTTAAGCTCAATAAGCCATAGGACAGAAAACAGCAGATGCTTTTTCATCTATAGGATAATAAACCTGTGAAATCGCTTACCTGCCGAAACTGTGAATGTCAAGACAATAATTCAGCTGGAAAAAAATCCTCAGGAATAGTGTACGGATCTTTAACAAGCCGTTGGCTTCCTGCCCTGTCGTTGCCACTAGAGATTGTGGCCGCCAGGAAAATATATAGAAAATATACACAAAGAAATCACAATAACATGATATTACCAAGAGATGATCTTTGGAACGTGACGACGGGATAGAACCAGTGTCCAGGGGTTCAATTAATATTATTATTATTATTGTTAGTATTAGTTTTAAATGCGAGCCAGGAGCATGGCATCAAAATGGACCAAGTATGCATTACGAAAATTTTTCTTAAGCTTACCATAGTTTCACTGTCTGCCACGTTTTCTCTTGTTCTCCGGTTCCTAAAACGTTTTTTATTGTTGTCACAAATATATTCGCCATCCTTGACCTGAATTTATCTGAATTTACCCGAAGGGCACTAACACTCTGGTGCTCTCGACGAGAAGAGGAAGCCGGCGGCTTGTCAAAGATCTCCCTTTGGGCTTGAATGGTCCCCCATTTGCCCTCTTTACTCATTTTTTTTTTTTTAGCTCGCCTCCTTCCCTCTTGGTTCTTTGAGTTTTGTTTCGGTTATCTTCATTTGTGTGTGTCATCGTTAGATGTGTTTCTAGCCTTTAATCTGCTTCTGTCTTTCTCAAATGATAGACTAACAGTGTGTAGCGAGTAGATTATCCCAATAATATACTCGCTACAATTCGCGAAAAATCAGACCTTACCAGAGCTGTTGTTGGTGCAGATTCAGCTACTCGGAACGAAAAGTTCCAAGTAGCACGGGCTATGGTGAGCCTATAAATGGATGCTCTTTGGAGCCATTATATGTATCAACAGCTGATGCTGAAAATCTGGGGATGGGTTCCGTGGACGCGCTAATCCAATCCAAGACCATAAGGCTGGTCAGACCGTTGAATTGATGTTACCAGAGCTGCTGTGTCTAGATAAACCATTGTTTGTATGAATGAGTGTTTGACAAGAAATAGACAGAATCTGCGTCAAGTTCGTAAGAATTCCGATGGGTTAATGAAACAGTGCTTTGTCAGAGGTGGTAGAATTTTACCCGAATTTACCTGACGAGCGGTCTTATTAATTAGTGGTCTCGACGAGGACAGGAAGCCAGAGGGACATCCTGCAGAAAGAACTCCCACCAGGGGCGGCAAAATCCTTACTGGCATTAGCGTCTTTTAGATTAAGTGGCGATAAAGGCAAAAATGAAGCAGCAGGATGATGATGATGTATATGAAAGGGGAAATTCTGACTGGAGTTCATTACCTGCAACTGCGCCCGTGAAATACACACACTTTAACAGGACGATATTTTTGCATGATTTTTTTTTTTTTGTGGGTGTGCACTGCTTGACGCCAGAAAATTTGGTTAAAGTTCGTTTCACAGTTTGGTCGTATTTAAGCGGCAGTTTTGGCCTGCACAGAACAGCATTACATATTCTGGAGGATAAGTGTGCAAGGATGAAGGAATATATGACAACCATGCATGGGTCTGATGGCCTGTTATTCATTCCCCAGAACTCGCTTGCCACCCCTGCAACATTCTGTTCATGCATATGCAACGAGTACCACAAGAGCAACTTTGTGGATAACACACATACACGGGGCCTGTGGCTAAGAGGACAACGCTTGGTACTCGTAATCCTAAGAACCGGGGATCGATCCCCGGCAAAGTTTCTTTCACCCTGATGCCCCTGTTACCTAGCAGTAAATAGGTACCAGAGCTCAACCCACGCAAGCACAACTAGGTGAATACACACACACACACACCAAATAATCTTGCACCTCAGCCAACCATTGACGTTACACACACCAATGAACACAAAGAGGCTCTTCCACTCTCCAAATTTTTCCGTCACCTAAAATGATTCAACATTAAAGGAAAACCATCAACGGGTTCTTAGATATTAAACCCCCTCACACAAGGGGTCATAACTGTCCGTATCGTGGTGTGCACAGTGTTCATGCGGACCTCTAACTTACATCCCACGCCAAACACAATGCTCATATTTTTTTTTTTTTAGATATATACAAGAGTTGTTACATTCTTGTACAGCCACTAGTACGCGTAGCGTTTCGGGCAGGTCCCTGGAATACGATCCCCGCCGCGAAGAATCGTTTTTTCATCCAAGTACTCATTTTACTGTTGCGTTAAACAGAGGCTACAGTTAAGGAATTGCGCCCAGTAAATCCTCCCCGGCCAGGATACGAATCCATGACATAGCGCTCGCGGAACGCCAGGCGAGTGTTTTACCACTACACCACCGAGACTGTAAAAAGTCATATGTGGAGACATTGCTGCGTGTCCCTAAGCATGTTAAAAATATAAAGTCGTATCAAGGCGCAGGGGTAAGGCTTCCAGCGAAAGTCATAACAAGTGTTGTGCTCCGGATGTAATTGTGGTACACGGGTTTGAGCTTAGCTGGGAGTGAGTGTGGCTGCTGCACTTGTGCTGGTGTTGGGCTTCAAGACCAGTGGTCTGTGAGAGCTCTGCACGACACTTTTACGGGTGACAAGTGCCACAGACCTATAGTGGGAAAGTTTGTGTGTCGCTGTAATAGATCAATGGTTGTTAACGTAAGTGTTGTCTAGCTGAAATAGATCAATGGTAAGTGCTGTCTCGTCTTTGTACGATGATACAAAAGCCGACCAACCCGGAACTCTACTGAATTCACTGTGAGGTTCTGGAGGCCTCGAACTGGAGCCCAACCAGGATTTTACAGTCGACCCGCCCACATTCTGGCCTACGGTGATAGCGTTCTTAAACTTGCTATTTAACTCAGAATAAATATGAGTGTTCACTTTTCCTACTCCCCCCCCCCCTTTTTATACACTTACATATCTGATTGTTTACAAAAAGAAAACATTAAGAGGAAATAAGGGGAAGTTTGTTTCCTAGAGGCTGTAGATTTCTTTGAACTCCTCCGACGCCGTTCAGGAATTGAGGATGCAGCGGGCATTCCTCCTCTGGATAGCTACACTGAAGAGGTTGGAGAGAAAACTTGCCGCTTTAGGGTATCTTGTAGAGTCAATGAGCCTGGAACCAAGATCTTTAAGAAACTTTCTGGGCTCTCTCTCCATGGACCTACGGTCTCAAATCCTATCGGAACGAAGTTGTACCGGTGATATATTTCTCTGTACTTGGTTGACTTGTCTCTTTCTGTGTGTCGCCGCGGCTCCTGCTTGGCCGGCAAAGAGGTTGATATATGTGGTTGCCAGGGTGGACCAGCAAGTATAGTCCCACGCCAACTGTCTGCCACCCTTTCAAGGGCGCAGTGTGATTCCATCTGGTCGGCTGGCAAAGATACCAGAGTTACGGTTCAATAGATTGCGGGGCTCTCTCTGCTATGTATATATATCTGAAAACTCCTCACTCCTGAAGGATTCGAACCCAGACAGCCAGGGCTCCATGCACCTTAGCGTATCCAGTACTTAGCGCATATATATATATACAGTATATATATTATATTATATTAATGTGTAAAACCTGTTAAATAATTTGTGAAAATATTCATACAATGAACCTTATGTTAGCAAAATATTTTCATGTTGATTATTTACTTAAGCTGTTTTTTAACTAAACATTAATTTTCTTGGTGAAAATTCTCAGAACATCAAGAATGTGTTAAATGCTTCAGAGGATCTTCTTCTCCCTTGGCTGACTTTAAGGAGCTGAAAAACTTGAAAAGACTAAGACAATAAGACTTTACAGCTTCATCAACAGATATTGGTGTTGCAAACAAGACATAATTAGCTTTGCAACAAAACACGACTCGATTATACTTGCAAATTTTCCTGATGCGTAACACGTGTTTTATATTTACAAACACAGGACGCGGCGCTTGTGGGAAGGGGAGCACAGGGGATGTTCGACGCCTCCTCAAAAACCTCGTGTAAACCCTGAACGGAGAAAAAATAATGAGTTAACGTAAGAGAGTTTGCCGCCTACACACACTGTGAATTAATGCCTCTCTATGAAGGCGAAGGCCAGCCTTAGGGTGAAGGGGGTCCTCCGCTGCCAGGGCTCAGGCTCTCGCCTCCTGGGCAGAGAGTACGAAGCTCACCCACTTCAGTAATCTTCCGTATCTCCCATATTTACTTACGGCGTGACTGTATGCAGGAGACGCAGGTATGTCGTGGTGCACCTCGCCGAGTCTAGTTTGTCTATAATATGTACTTTACATTAAGAGATGTAACTTACCTAAGATATAAAAATGACCTGTGCGAGATAATTTACACTTAAAAGGCTGCCTGAAAAACACTAATGGCTCAAGGTGACCTCAGCGATACCATCATCATTAAAGACCTGCCCCGAAGGTTGAGTCTAGAATTAAAGTAACTATACTGGGTTTAGGGCTCACGGAGAAAACTTGAAAGTCATGTGGTATATCTATGGAACACATCTTATACCAATAATCAAGGAATATGGGTACTGTAGGACAATAAGCCGAAAAGCTTATTTTCCTTACTGTGGGAAAATCAGCTTAAAAACTGTTGTGCCAGCACTTAATTCTTAAAACATCTGTTATAGTGATTGGCTAATCATTACGACATTATTAACATTATGTTATTTAGCTTATTTACCCCTTTCAGAGTGTTCGGAATCTCAGCGCATATCACAGGCTGGGGCGGAAATATGCAAGGCAGTATAATAAATGAACACAGTGTTATTAGACCGACACTGCCATCAGAATAGACTTGGCAATGATTTAGTATAATTATCATGTTATTGGCCAATGCCAATAACCAGACGACGGGACTGGAAGTGGTGGGTGACAAGCAGAGGAGTGAAAGACCTCAAAGGCGGCGTGTGTGTGTTGGCTTCCCGGGTCTCCGTCGCCAATCCTGCCCATCCCTTTGTGCAGCCCCAGCCCGCCCCCAGTCCGGCCCCAGCCCGGCCCCAGTCCGGCCCCAGCTCGCCCCCAGTCCGGCCCCAGTCCGGCCCCAGCCCGCCCCCAGCCCGGCCCCAGCCCGCCCCCAGTCCGGCCCCAGCCCACCCCCAGCCCGCCCTCACAGTTCGTCATCTACCTTGACAACACTGTAACCGGTATCCTTCAATCTGTACCCTCACCGAATAGGTTTCATTTATAACGGAAAAGATCAATTTGTTACAAATGCAACCTATTTGTAATAATTAGAGTACCGTAATTTCTTTGTGATTATGATCCAAAACCCATCCAGAGTGCAGGTCAAGCCATGTGCCAGAGACGACACACAAGTTAACTGAATTAACATTAACATTGAGAACAGTTTTGTTCAATTTGTATACTAAAGGGTATAACAAAAACTAAACCTCACTATATTCTAGGCCTAAATAAGGAATCCTAGGCTTATTATACTAAATTTAAGTCTAATTTAATAAATATATTTAGTGTACTTGGCCTAGGAAAGGTTGCAGTATTGTGCACATCATATATAAATAGCCAGCTCCCTGAGTCAGCACTCTTCCCTGCCTATATTGGTCTTCATGAACCTTGGGTGATGCGAGGCTTCCCATCCTCGCATAAATCCCCCCCCCCCCCCTCCTGAGGATAACAGACACCCCCCCCCTCCTGAGGATAACAGACACCCCCCCCCTCCTGAGGATAACAGACACCAATCTCTCTCTTATGACCCAGTGATATCACTAGATCATAACTATGTAGTATTATATAAATTCCCCCCCCCCCCCCCCCCCTACAGCTTCACGGTTTTCAGACTTGAAATATTAATTGTGTTTATTACCCATGTATTGACACGTTCATGTTGAAGTTTAGTATATTATAGAATTATCACGATGCTGTATAAGTATTTTAATTACAATATTGTATATATTGCCAGCAAGATGCTTTTTTTATATTTATAAAAGTACAACGTTTTGATTATGGTGAGGAAAGGTATGCATGTACATGTTGGGTGTAGGCTAGCCTAGTACCCGTTCTGGAGGCTGGGAAGGAATCACTTGCTGTCCGACGCTCACAATATCCTTCCATATTAACAATGGAATGGATAATATTACTTTTGTTACAAGTGTTTATTGACTAGTTTGGAGTATTTAAGACGATGCCTGTATTTAATAAATTATTTACAATCTTGGTGGTAATATTTTGGTCAGATATGTATCATGTGGATAAAGAGACGTGCTGTTGATTATGTAATGCAGGTGTGGTGGAGGCGAGATGCCTACTAGATTTATAATTAGAGGATTGTGCACGCTGAAAACTAGCACCGCTCCTGTGCCAGGTAAGTTACGGGCTCACCATAGCCCGTGCTACTAGGAACTTGTTCCGAGTAGCTGAATCTATAACAACAACAACAACGGACGTTGAAAGACAACGCAAGGGCTGTTAGCAGTTAAGATAAAGATTGTGACTGTTAGGACATGGTGTGAGCTTATCTGGGGAACATTACTAATTTATGTTTAAAGTATATTAAAACAAAGAAACAAAACGAATAAGCATACATTAAGTTTAATGAGTGTGTTAAGCGAATTAGTGAATTTACTTGTGCAAATCTATAACTGTGTTTTTTTTCTAGTAGGCTTATTGGCCGTTTTATTACGTGGCTGAAGTAAGGCAGAAGTAACCTGTATCCTTGCTCAGTACCCCCAGAGTTTCGGGGCGTGTTCCTATATGTCAGATTAGACTGGCGAGTTTACACTCCTGTAAGTAAGTAAAGTAAATTTTTTTCAGGAAAGTACATACATAGTTGATTTACAAACATAATGTTGGATTTATAGATGGATCTAGTACATACAATACCTAAAGCCATTAGTACGCATAGCGTTTCGGGCAAGTGTTTCTGGTTTCTCGGGCTGTTTCATTAAGTCCTAATTAAGGCAGGAGTGTATTTTCCGTGACCCGTTATTATCACGCCTATAACACCATCCCCCCCTCCCAAGGATAAGTGACAGTACCCCGCCCCCCTCCCAAAGATAAGTGACAATACCCACCCCCTCCTATGGGTTTTGGGTGTTTATAAATAGGAGCTGCCTGGTATGGGCCAATAGGCCTTCTGCAGTTAGCTTTATTCTTATGTTCTTACCCCCCCCCCATCCCAAGAATAAGTGACAGTATCCCCCCCTCCCCCCCGAGGATAAGTGACAGCACCCCCCTCTCCCTCCCACCAGGATAAGTAACAGCACCCCCTCTTCCCCCCCTCGAGGATAAGTGACAGCAAGCCTCAGAAGTGTTGAGCAGAGGTGTAGAGGCGTCAGTAGGTTAGTCGGCGTGCTAATGTTCAGAGGAGAAGACACCAATGGCTCGCTTTACATGTCTCACCAAATACTGGGCCCTCGCTCTCCTGCTGCACCTCCGCGGGCTCCAGGGGGCCCTCATGCCCACTTCCACCCAAAATTACCTCATTATTACCGATGTGAGGGCTCCCGAACCATTACAATCCACCAATGACACGGCCAGTGCGGATGTGTGGAATGAGAACCCCTCGTCAGTACACACTGACGAAACGAAATCGGTCAACACTGACGATTTCCTCGATAATGTGCTTCAACCCGTCGTCAGTACAGGTGTTACAGGCCATAGGCCTCAACGTAGCGATAGCGAAGCCTCGGAAATCACTCAACTGGTCGTTGATGCTGATGCCAAGCCAAACGACTCGCCCACCCTCACGGACGACGTCGATGATTGGCTGCTAAACTACGAAGAGTGTTCCACGAGCCACTCACTTGAAGGCGCGAACCCCGCCGAGGACACCGCCGAACTGACGGAGGTCTACGGCAGCATACTGGAACACGGCGTCGGGCACCACCGGGAGTCTGACCCCGAGGACCTGCGCATGAGAATGTATGCGGTGAAGAACAGCGCGCTCAGACCCGTGGCTGTGAGCGGCCACAGGCACGCTCCGAGGCACGGCCAACTAGTGAGAGAGACTCTTGGACCAGTGGTGAATAAAACTCTTGGACCAGTGGCGAATGAATCTCTTGGTCCAGTGGTGAATGAGACTCTTGGACCAGTGGTGAATGAGACTCTTGGACCAGTAGCGAATGAGACTCTTGGACCAGTGGCGCATGAGACTCTTGGACCAGTGGCGAATGAGACTCTTGGACCAGTAGCGAATGAGACTCTTGGACCAGTAGCGAATGAGACTCTTGGACCAGTAGCGAATGAGACTCTTGGACCAGTGGCGAATGAGACTCTTGGACCAGTGGCGAATGAGACTCTTGGACCAGTAGCGAATGAGACTCTTGGACCAGTAGCGAATGAGACTCTTGGACCAGTAGCGAATGAGACTCTTGGACCAGTAGCGAATGAGACTCTTGGACCAGTGGTGCCAGAACGAAAATACAACGAAGCAGTCAAGATCTTCTCATCGGAGGCTACAGGAAGCACTGACGCCAACAGGACGACGGAGACTTCAGGAAGCACTGACGCCAACAGGACGACGGAGACTTCAGGAAGCACTGACGCCAACAGGGCGATGAAGGAGACTTCAGGAAGCACTGACGCCAACAGGGCGATGAAGGAGACTTCAGGAAGCACTGACGCCAACAGGGCGATGAAGGAGACTTCAGGAAGCACTGACGCCAACAGGACGATGAAGGAGACTTCAGGAAGCACTGACGCCAACAGGACGACGATGGCTTCAGGAAGCACTGACGCCAACAGGACGATGAAGGAGACTAAGGGGAAGGTGGTGGTGTCGCAGGCGCCCGCGAGAGGTGGTGCAGGAGGCGACGTGCTGCCCTCGCTGACAGCCAACGAAGGTCAGGTCACTTTACTCAAGACGGAGGTCACAGTGCAGGAAGGTGCCAGGGTGCGGCTGGTGTGCAACGTTACCGGGGTACAGAACTACTGGGTGAGTGTTACTGGGGCACAGAACTACTGGGTGTGTGTTACTGGGGTACAGAACTACTGGGTGAGTGTTACTGGGGTACAGAACTACTGGGTGAGTGTTACCGGGGTACAGAACTACTGGGTAAGTGTCACCAAGGGTACAGAACTACTGGGTGTCACTGAGGGTACAGAACTACTGGGCAAGTGTCACCGAGGGTACAGAACTACTGGGTAAGTGTCACCGAGGGTACAGAACTACTGGGTAAGTGTCACCCAGGGTACAGAACTACTGGGTAAGTACCACTGGTAACGTAATGGTCGCCAACGACTCGGGCAGCTACGCGTGGGGTTCCAAACACCGGTCATTACATTACTTGTGGTTGAGTTCGCTCGCGTCAGTCAACAGGGAAGTCTTTATTAGTTTCTTGTCCTCCGCAATATTCCAACTTTTCCAAACCCGCGGGTAAACCTCCTTTGTTGTCCGTGATCCAAACTTGGTCCGTGTTCTGGGGTCGTGTCCCGGTACACAGCTGCAGTGAAAGTTAACATTTGTCCCGTTCAGTCGACCAGTTACTGAAAACCCGACGTCCATATATCAGAGACTATCAAAACAACCTGTCCTCCTACAAAGAACGTCGCTTTTCGTTCGTATGCGTTACATAAGGGCCAACAATTGTCGTACTAGAAAATGAAAACGGCTCGCGAAAGTGACGTACTGTCTCGTTTTCTGTTTTGGGTCCTCTGGTAGGTTAGGAGAGGACACTTTAAATTGACCGTTTTCTTGACGTTGGGGACCTTCTTGAGGTTATCTTGAGATGATTTCGGGGCTTTTTAGTGTCCCCGCGGCCCGGTCCTCGACCAGGCCTCCACCCCCAGGAAGCAGCCCGTGACAGCTGACTAACACCCAGGTACCTATTTTACTGCTAGGTAACAGGGGCATAGGGTGAAAGAAACTCTGCCCGTTGTTTCTCGCCGGCGCCCGGGATCGAACCCGGGACCACAAGGATCACACCAGGATCACAAGTCCAGTGTGCTGTCCGCTCGGCCGACCGGCTCCCCCGGTCCGGCTTCGTCCACCTTAGGAGGACGGGCTGAACAAAACTCCTGACGTTTATTTTGGAACAGTAACAAAACAAACTTCCTCATTTTTTGCCATTTTCACGAGATATTAACATATATAAAACACTCATCATTCTGTAAATGGTCGTAAACATATATCATAAACGCTGCATGATACTTTTCCTCATCCCTCAAATATTTCTTTTCTGCCAGTATATATTTACCTGGCTTAATGTTCATAAAAATATTTCACTCGTCGGTTTCTTCATTTTAAAATCTACCTAGCCTGCAGAAATGTTCCATTTCCACTGTTGCATCTCTGGCCTGATAATTTTTGTAGAATTTATATTATTTAATTTTTGTATTCTCATGTGCCATGTGTTTTCTTCTGGCTCTGGTAGATGGTAGACTACCACAGATATTTTCCTCTCCCACTTCTTGCTCTGTATATTTTGACCTGGGGAGTTTTAATAGCCTCTAACATATCTTCAGGGGTATGTTATATCAAGGGGTCACGGGATATATCACCTCAGTGATGCATGAATCCCTTGACCTAGAGGTCAACAGTGACGTTCCTCTGATGCACCAATGACCTATGGACTTCCAGGTAAGGCCATATCCAGTGATAAACACCGCTCTCGTGTAGTTGTAAAGATGCCCAAATTCGATAACTAGATCTGTCACTTTAACTTTTCCTATCCTGAAGGCTAACAGGGTTTCCTTGCCTCCTAAGCAAGTTACACCAGTTTGCCTGTGGGCCCCTTGTATGTATTCTGATCTCATTTCGAACACCAAAAAAATTGGATTAAAAAATAAATCTGGATCATTGTGACTGTATTTATACTTTTCTTTAGTGTTTATTCTGTCTGGAAACTTTTCTCTAATTCATTGTTTGCATTTGTTCAGATGACATGTTTGTGAGTAGAGTTGAAAGCAATACACTTTATATATAGGTGTACTGGATGGGATACTCAGAGGTGCCTGGGTTGACCCAGTCTCTCTATCTCTGGAAACGTTTGGGACTTATTGGGCGGAGGTGTGTACGGAGGGCGGGATGACGTACACGCGGACCAGCACGACTGTGAAAGTGAGTGACGTTATCATGGGGCCTGACGGCTGAGTGGACAGCGCTCGGCGTTCGTAGTCCTAAGGGTCCTGGTTAGATCCCCGGCGGAGGCGGAAACAAATGGGCAGTGTGTATTTGTATAAGGAAAAATATATTTTGAAATTTGTTTCAAAATATTTAGCAAGCTGTAACCGTCAGGCAGTGCCAACAATTGTTGTGATGTAGTGCACTGGCACGCTGTTCCCTCTTTAATTCTGGCGACACCGACTTGCCTATGGCCGTCCCATACCCCAGGTCATTCCCGGTTCAAAGTTAAGTGAAGCTATCCCCAAGCTTCTGGCTTCCAACCTTGGACACACAGACAGGTAAACCGACATTCTTCCTTATTGATGAAGAGAGAGAAAAGAAGAGATGGACGCATGTAAACTAGATGTGTTGTGAAGTATGTTTATTTAAATAGGGAATGGAATGTAACTATGAGGGGAAAGCGCCAAGCCATTACGACTATATAGCAATTTAAATAGGGAATTTAAGATCATCTCCACACAGGAGCGGGACCTCTCGGCGAGGTTCACATTACAAAACCCAGAGTACTGGAATACTTTTATGCACACTTTCCGATCTTCTTTTAAATCCTTCGCCTTAAATAATCATCTAACATCCCCAAATAACTCTTCGGTCTCCACATACCTTATAACACATTAAAATCACTTATTTCCCACTAACACTTTTCTTTGAATACAAATATAATATAAACAAAGTGTTTTCGGCTTCCTTTACTCTGCTCGGAGCGCAGTTGTTGGACTTCCCTAGTTCACACTAGACACGTTAGATGCGCAGATGTTTAGATACTCGCTCAAAACACTTGTTAATTTCTGTAACTCTCCCGGAAACATCCGTCACTTCTCTACCATTCAACTCCCGTCATCGATATCAGGGCTGAGGCTTCAAATCGTCAAAAGAAAAAAATCCAATACATATATCTGAGATTCTCGCTCCTTTCACACTACGTTCATTTAGAGGCATCCTATAATGTGGCTCCAGTTCTCTCTTAGACCACCGCCTCTCTCTCTCTCTTTCACTGGCATTGTTTCCAGTTTTCTCACAAATCCAGAATTTCAGTACAGTACTTGCCAGTGTTAGACTCACCGCTCGCTATGGTTAGAGCATCATCGGTGTGTGAAAGCACATCGCCTCTCACTTTTTGAAGTTCACTCATTTACAATTCGGTGGAAGTCCTCTGGCGGTGTTCCCTCCGTAAGAGAGGTTCCCGCCACATCTTTCCCTACACACAATGTTTCCCAACTCGTGCTTTATCCTGGACATATATTACTACTCATTCCGATACCTTGATATATACTATCTAATACCATGGTGAATTTCTGTCTGTTTGATCATATGCATTAATGCAGTTCTCCGGGGAGCACTGCTCACAGTGAACTGTGCAGCTGAGTGTGTCTCGTATTATCTTCCTTGACGGGCCCAGAGTCCTGTAAACACCCAAAGTCCACTACGGGCTCACCATATCCCGTGCTACTTGCAACTTTTTGTTCCAGGTAGCGAATCTTAAACAACAGGTAAACACCCAGATGGTATCTGGCACCTGATGCAGGTACTGTATGGTATATTAACTTAATTTGTATATATAGCAGAAATGTCCGTCTGTCTGAGGCTAGAGGTCAGGGGCTTGGAGTTAGCCTCACCAAACTTTGCAGGATGACCGGTGGTGGTTGGGTATGGAAATAGGCGAGTTAAGGTGAACCCCCGTGATCCTCTATTTGCCTGAACTGGCAAACGATGCTAATTTCCAATCGCTGAGAACCAGATTCCATCCCCACAAAGATTCATCCAGCATGATATGTTACTGGGTAATACATATGGTTACAATCATGCAAACTGGTGATGAGTAGGAATGGTGGTGAAGGGTATGGAGGATGGTGAAGGGTAGAGAAGGTGATGATGACAGATAGAGATGATGGTTGTGAATGAGGATACTTTGTAGATAGTGTTGAAGGTTATGTGTAGCGAAGATGATTACAGTGATGGCGACTATGTTTAGTGAAGATACTACAGTGATGATAGCTGTGTATATTTTCAGACGATTACATCGATAAAGATAGTGTATAACAAAAATGGGTACAGTGATGATGGTCTGTGTGTAATGAAAATGGATAGTGATAATAGTCGTGTTGAGCGCAGATGATTAGTGGTGAATAGTGTATGGTGAAGATAGTGGCGTCCGTCACCCGAGCAACGCCAGGACCTCCCTCCCCCCCCCCCCCCCGTCTCTAATTTATTGCAAGTATATAACGTCCAGACTCAAAAATGGCCACAAAAACAAATACTCACACAAAACAAATTTACCGCTTTTAATAATTCATATTCCTCGCATTCTAAACTCCAACACTAACAAATATTATATTTTAGCAACGAACAAAATATTCCCACATAGGAGCCATTCCTCATATCACCAGACCTGAAATATATTACCAGCTGCCCCCCCCCCAGGCCGCGCCAGAGCGCTGGTTGTCCACTTACCCTCCATAGTTTGTAGGGTTGTTGTTGTTATAGATTCAGTTACTCGGAACAAGTTCCAAGCAGCACGGGCTATGGCGAGCCCGTAACTTACCTGGCACAGGAGCGGGGCAAGTAGCACGGGCTATGGTGAGCCCTGGTTTGTAGGGATATCCCAGGACATACATAGTAGCCCCAACTGCAGGTGGAGCCGTGCGGGTAGTGGAGTAGGGCGGAGATACACACAACGCTCCTCTCACCACCCACCGCCTCCTACAGGTGTCCAGTCTTCACCGCAGACATAACATTTTGACACGCACCGACAAACATCTGTATCTATAAGAGAGAATGTCTGTTTGAGGTTGGGGCTCGATGCTTTGGGT